AGGCCTCTTCCACACTCTCCCCCATCAATGCACTTGTTTCTAAAAACATCAGTTCATTTTCTTGAGCAAATCTGGAGGCTTCTAAGAGAGTCACTTCCTGGTCTGCGTCCAGGTCCATTTTGTTCCACAGAGGTTGATCACGATGTTCTGACTGGCGAGCATTCTGGCATCTGTTAACCAATTAGTAAGCAGATTGTAGGTTTCCCGGCTGGTGATGTCATAAACGAGCAGAGCCCTGGCAGCGCCTCTGTAGTCGCTTCTGGTCATCACAGACCTGAATCGCTCTTGGCCGGCTATATCCCATATCTGCAACTTCACATATTTACCACCAATATTTATTATCTTTGAACCAAATTTCACTCCTATGGTATGATTGGAGTCATCTTTGAATTTTTTTTTTATTTTTCTTTTTACAATAAACTGATGAAGCAGGCACGACTTGCCAGTACCTATATTTCCAATAACCAGGAACTTAAACAAGAGCTGCCTCAAACAGATTGTCAAACTGCAGCGGGAAGGCCGGGGAGGGTTGGAGGGCAGGAGGTAGGGGGGTAAGAGATCAATCAAAGGACTTGTATGCATGTATATAAGCATAACCAATGGACATAAGACACTGGGGAATAGGGGAGGCTAGGGGACTGTCTAGGGCGGGGGGGAAAAATTGACACATATGTAATACCCTTTGTAATAAAAAATAAAATTTAAAAAAAAAAAAAAGAAATTTCCCTCCTGATCGTTCAACCCCTAAACCACTACTCCAATTGCCAAAGGCCAGCAATTTCATAATTCAGCCCCTTGCATGCACTTTTGAGCATTTTCAATGATTAGAAAGTCTGCCCTTTTACTTTCTGCCACTTGATTCTAGTTCTATTCTCTGGATCTCTGTATTATTTTCCTAGGGCTACCATAATGGATTATCATACATTTTGTGGCTTACAACAACAGAAATGTATTTTCTCATTGTTCTGGAGGCGGGAAATCCACAGGGCTACACTCTCTGAAGGCTCTATGGTAGTCTGTTCTTTGTCTCTCATAGCTTTTGGTGGCTCCAGGAATTCTTCGGCTTGTTGCCACATCACTCCAATCTCTGCTCTCATGGTCCCACTGCCTTTTCCTCTTCTCTGAATCTCTTATGAAGACACTGTTCATTGGATTTAGGACATGCGGAGATAATTCAGGATGGCCTCATCTCAAGGTTTTTATCTTAAAGCTGCACATACCTATGTTCCAGATAAGACCATACTTGCAGGTTCTAGGGATTAGAAGGTGGACCTAATTATTTTACAAAAGAGTAAAGTGGTCCATTTAATGAAACCAAAGCTGGGTTTTAGGTATTACTTCCTGGAGAAATTCTCCTAAAGGTTTTGATCAAAATCATTTCAAAAATTTATCAAAATTATTTTCATATAGTTCTTCCAGTTTATAACAGAAAATACTACTTAGCCTTCCCAAGTCTCCAGGATATTTATTGTAGTTGTTATTGTAGTATTTTGTGTTATCGTTGTAAAATAGAACAATGGTACCCTTTTTTAGGGTTGTGGCGTGTATTAAATGACAAACTATATGAACAGCAACCAGCACTATGCCTGCTAAAACAGCAAAGTAGTCAATAGATATTAGCTCTCTTTATTATCATTATTTCATAGTACTTTGAAGTGTTCAGTGTATAACCAGCAACTCTTCTGATTTAATCCTCATAATCTCACAGTTGTGTAGGTATTACATCAGGAGACAGAGACTTGGCAAGAGTTCCCTAATATTTCCACAATACAGTAAAACCTCGAATTAAAGGACTAATTTGGGCAAGGGACTGTCTGTGAAAGCCAAAAGTCTGTTATATAATAAAGTAGGTTTTGCAAATGTGTATGCTGAAAAATTGACAAATTAGTTTGTGTAATTGAAATTAAATATGTATGAAAAGTTCAATTTCACAGAAAAGTTTTTTGTATGTGTTACTATAATTTTAGATTTATCCTGAATAGGTCACCTCGAGTAAACAAATGCACATGACTGGGGCATGGCTTAGTGCACATGGGAACATGGACTTGAGTTATAACTGCTGCAGCAAGTCACGCCCTGGCAGAGCTAACCCATCCATCGGAGATGGCAGAGGTGGAGGAGACACTGAAGCATCCTCAGAGCCAGAAGGGAGTGCAGGGAATCATTGTGGTGAACACAGAAGGCATTCCCATTAAGAGCACCATAGACAATCTCACCACTACACAGTCTGCCAACCACATGCACAACTTCATCTTGATGATCCTCATGCACGGATCATCACACGTGAAGTTGACCCCCAGAATGACCTCACCTTCCTTCAAATCCGCTCCAAGAAAAATGAAATTATGGTCACACCTGATAAAGACTACTTCCTGATTGTAATTCAAAATCCAACTAAATAAGCCACTCTCTTCGCTCCACGCATCATTTCTTAAGTTAATGATAATAATAGTGTTAATCATGTCAACCAATAGGCAGGTGGAAATTGTCTTAGAGCCCATGTAGACCGATCCAGTGACCAGAGTGGGCTGCAGATCTGCTCCATCCCACCAAAGCATCCCTCTGCTGACCAGTTGCCCTGAGCTCCCAGGCGGGCCCTCTTTCCTCAAGCTCAGGTTTTGGAACATGAGCTTATGAGAGGCCCACATCCTGCTTTCTTCTGACCTTCTGTTCACGGTGTTGCCCTTGGAAAAGGCTGCTTTCCTTTAACTAGCAATAACTGAAACTTAAAAAAAGAAAGAAAGAAGACATAGCCCTAACCGGTTTGGCTCAGTGGATAGAGCATCAGCCTGCGGACTCAAGGGTCCCAGGTTCGATTCCGGTCAAGGGCATGTACCTTGGTTGCAGGCACATCCCCAGTAGGACATGTGCAGGAGGCAGCTGATCGATGTTTCTCTCTCATCGATGTTTCTAAATCTCTATCCCTCTCCCTTCCTCTCTGTAAAAAATATCAATAAGATATTTTTTTTAAAAGAAAGAAATCGTGCTCTGTGACCAGACTGATTGCCACTTGCGATGCAGTATGATCACGTGCTATGATTCACTGAGCACTGGTTATGAGTGGTGACTCTTGAATTCAAATATGTAGATTACAGTTAACAACAAGAAATAACCTGTTAATGTGATTATAAGAAAATCTTGGTTAAAAGCATTTAAAAATTAACAGGGTGTTAATTTTCACATATGACATATTGACCAGAAATTTTGTATGTTAAATCGTGGTCCGTTAAATCATGGTTCGCGAAATTGAGGGTTTATTGTAGTAGTTTAAATATTAACTTTTTTTCTTTCTTTATTGATTAAGGCATTATAT